TCTGGTAGTCTCCAAAACTGTTCACTAACTTACAAAACACAATCTTGAGTCTGTCTGGCATACTAATTTGTATGCCCGTGGTTATTAAAATGACAGAATTCGATTCGGGAACTGTCATGTTCGTTGTGGACTGTTAAAGTCAGTAAGATCGAAACAACAATAGTTTCAAAAACAAGAATTCAAAGAAAATTTGTTTCATTAGGTGTAGGGTCATCATCGCTTGTGTATAATATCAACAAATACGCGAAGTTTTCCGGGAAAAAATCGACAACATACAAATTAGTCAAATTTGAAGAAAGCCTACGGGAGGGGATTTTGACCCAGCAAATGACAAAATACGCGGTTGAAGTATAGCCACTTATCTGAAAAAGTTATATTTTTCTCTTAAGTCATAGTAAAAAAGCCAATAAACGCCTCCAACATGTTGCAAATCAAGAGGAAATTTTTCCCGGAAAAACTACAATTATGCAAATTAGGAAATTAGGTTAAAGTCGCTCGAAGACATAAAAAAATTGTTACAGATTCATTACACATGTAAATTGACTTGGATTGTACTGTCTAAGTGCTTTCAAATTCTCAAGTTTGGCAAAGAACACATATCACTGGGTAGTATATCTTACCCTATTAAATAACGTTAGCTAAAATACCTATTACATGAATTTTGTTTGTACATAGTCGATATAACGCACGCTCTGATTGGCTTATTCTAGGGCGTTTTTCTCCCGTAAAGCCCACGGGCCGATAACGGGCCCTAAAATCAAAGCAAGAGGTAATTAAAAAACTACTAACAGCTTTTTTTTTTTTTTTTTTTTTTNGACGACCGTTGTTACTTGTTTCTCGCCTGCTAACACAAGCGGAACAACGGGACAAATCACTTTATGCGACAACAAGAAATTTTTAGATAGTCACAAGGAATTTTACAAGGTACTCGTATTGTCACAAAGTCACGCACGTACGATTTATTTTCTCATTAACTGACCGCATTAACTGACCGCATTTTTTTTTTTTTTTTTTCTGAAAATTGTAGCGGCTCAAAACGATGAGTGGCGAGGAACACACTGAGAGCGAACCCTATTACCCCGAGGAGCTACATTAACAGGAGAACGGCAAATGCATAGCGTTAAATTTTGAATGAGTTGGTGCCGGGAAGGACTAAGGAAACAGCCAAGAAGAAATTGAAACTTTCGTCAAAGTGCCATATAATAAACTAGACTTAGCTACTGTGCATGAGAACTGAAAAAGAGCAATTGTTTAAAGTCAGACTGTCAATTAGTTTAGCATAGTGTCAAAATATGAACTCAGAGTTGTTTTAGAGAAAGCAATGAAAGAATTTTTGGTGTTTAAGAACAAGTTATTAACAAAACGACATTTACAGTTTGGCTTTATAAGAAGGTCTATAGAAGAGACTTTTTTTGTTTTAATACCCTGGACCGTCATAGCTGATACATTTGATTAGCTACACTCAGGCTTAAATCTTTGTATACTACTTTCAGTTACATTGGTTTATATCTTTCTACGACTTTGCTTAAGCTTGCCAGAAGTCAAGCAATATCTAGCATTTACCACTCAACTCCAAGCAATTTCTCGCGACTTGCTACACATACTAATCAAGCAATGTCTCTCATACACTATTTCTTGTTTGTTACACCGACCAAAGTGATATTTACAGTTTGGTATCCAGGATGGAACGCTAACCGTTTTATACTTGTGATGATGTGTGTAGAAGCATACCAAACGTAACGTTCTCAAATCAAGGTTCTTACAACATGCGTTGTTTTGTTATGTTTGTGATCGCAGATTGATTGTTTGTTTGTTTCGTTTTGTTTTCTTTTTTAACATGAAAAATATAATTCTCGTAAGAAATATACATCTTTCAGCCAAATGCAACGAACCACAAATTCAAAATCCTTCCCACGAAAATGGTCTATCGTCGGCATCGCTTCTCGACTCGATTTTCTCGCACGTGGAAGACCGACACTAATCTATGGAGGTGCTAGGGGGTGACGAGCAAGACTCCAGTGGTTAAAAGTCAGAAAAAGAATTTACAACTACGTTCTTTACGTAGGGTTAATCTCTTTGATCTTTAATAAGACAGGCTTGTGTTTCTACAAAGTACTGTTGTATAATTACTTGCCCCACCCCTGGGCTGCCCTTTGTGAGGAAATGCCTCATAGTGGGGACCAACAACCTGCCAAATGCCCGTCAAACCCGAAGGTGAGCAGATGAGCGGGCTTGGAATATACAGAGCCATCACGTACTGAATAAACTAAATTCTTGCCTTTCGGAACATTTCCAGTAATGAAATGGTCTTCGACAGTTATAATTATAGAACGAAGACCTCTTAAAAAGCTCTAATTAAAGTGGGTTGTTGTTCTTCTTTCCTTTCCTCTACACATTACTTATATGAAAGTGATTTTGTGTACCCCTGACAGTCATGGCTTACACGTTTGAGTAGCTACACTTGGTGTGACTTAAACCCCTGTATACTACTTTTAATCGCATTGCTTAATGTCTCTCTACGACATTGCTGAGTTCACAAAAAAAAAGCGATATCTGGCATTTACCACTCAATTTCAAGCAAAGACTCGCTAATACTAGACATGCTGGTCAAGCACTTTATCACTAACACTAGTTACTGCTTGTTGATACGCCGACCAAAGTGGTATTTACAGTTTCGTATCCAGGAGGGAACGCGTTGTAAAGGCTGTTTCACTTCTAGTGTTGGTACCCACAGAAGATGTTTCCTGTCTGAGATTTCCTGTACGGCAGCACCGGATCATTTTGGTGAAGGCTGCTTTCATCTTTTTGTTCAGACCAATGTACAGCCACGGATTTATGGCGCTGTTAGCCTGACTGAGCCAGTAGCAGAAGTAAATG